TGAAGCACCTATGCAGACACTGCAGAGCTGGGTCAAACTAACACGTTGCTTCTTCTGGTAAAACCCTTTTTTTTTTTTCTTTTTTTTTTTTGTTAAATCTCTGTAAGCAGCCTCTGTATACTCCTTGATCAGGTTTATCCACTGAGCCTACCTGGATGGTATCAGACTCCTGTTTTATTCTGTCTACCTGAGTTCCAATTAGCTGGCCCTCCCTGCCTCAGTCACATCTCCAGCACTAGGTGCCTTTTACAGGGCACACCCCAGCCCCAGCCTGCAGTCCATGCCACGCCATGCCAGCACCCAGAACACTGCAGCACCTGTTCTGCTCCAGCCTGGCCTGGCCCACTGGTGTGGGGGTGGGGGTGTACCCAGGGTCACCCCGACTTGCAGCAGAGAATGCAGGTGTCCGGGGGACCTGGTATAATTAAATTATTGGAGAACATTATCAGCCAAAAAAAGCTGATAGCCAATAATGTTAATTTTCCTTTTTTGGTGCTGATCTGATACACAACCAATATACCGATGCACCCCTATTAGCTATCAGGAAGAATTTTCTCACTAGGAGGGTAGTGAAGCATTAGAACAAGTTACCTGGAGAAGGAAACTCCATCCTTGGAGGTTTTTAAGACCCAGTTAGACAAAGCCTTGGCTGGGACCATCTAGTTGGGGGGTGGTCCTGCCTTGAGCTGGGGGATGGACTAGATGTGACCTCCTGAGGTCCCTTCCAACCCCAGTTTTCTATGATTCTGAGAGAGAGCAGGGTAAGGAGCCCCTCTTCATTTGGACTGTTTCATTCAAAGCTGAGAAGTGGATTGGGAGCTGAAAAAGCAGGGAAGTTTGGTTTTCTCTTCAGGTCTATGAAAAGCAAAAGGGAAGAGGATGAGATTTATGAGTTCTAAAACTTTGAAAGAAATTTCTATTAAAATAGTTAATACCACCGTCTAATAAATTAGTTATAAATGTGTACCATGTTTGATTAAAAAAAAGTTTTCTGTATCCAAAACATTAAAGTTTCATTTAATAATTTTTTATTAAATTCAAGTTGTGATCTTGATACAAATATGAGCAAAAAATTAATCAGGTAGTGAATAAGAAATATTTCACCAGTTGAGAAATCCTACATTTTAGTATAACAATCCAAATGTTAAGCTATATATTTAATATATATTAATATAGTGCATGTTACAAAATATTATGCATATGCTATATTAATGTGGATATATTGTATTGATATGTTAAATATATTAATATGGGGGGGTGTGCGTGTGTGTGCGTGCGTGCATAATTTGTGTGCTTAGGAAACATATTACCAAATCTACTGTAAGAACTGTATTTACTTATATATCAACATGTTTTGATTGCTATATCAAACAATGAAAATACACCTCCTTTTTAAAAAAGAACACAAAATACAATGGGAAAGTTGATAAAAATCAATTATTTAAATTCGGCTTTTTTTGCTTGCTGATTTAAATCGTGACTTAAATCAGCAATGTAAATGAACTTGATTTAAATCAGTCCACCCTGCCTGAATAAGCCCTCAGGGAAGGCTGCCTTGTGGTCTGAGTCCCTGACAGCTGGCTCTTAGACTGTCCAGCATTATTGATCCTGATGTTAATGATTTAATAGTCCATCTAGGTAGCAAAGAGGAACTATATCATGGATGGCCACTCCTGGACAGTACTATTAGTTCCTCTTGCCACTAAATGCCATTGTATTGTATCCAGGCAGCAACCTTGGTTGTGCATGTGAATAAAAGACTCCAGCTGTCCCCTTCCCAAAGGGCAACTGGCCCATGGAAATTTCCTTCCCTCAGGAACAAATTCAGACCCAGCTGGAGATTCTAAGGGAAAAAAGAAAAAGGCTTGAAAACCTGAGAGCAAGGGAAAGTCAGAAACACCAGGCCTGTCAGGTTGGTACTACTCATGGTTACTAGTGATCAGGAAAACCTGGGAAGGGTTAAAGGGGATGTCTCCTTCTTGGTGTGCTTTGCAGAATCCTACATGCTGTTTTGTGACCGTGTGTTGCTATGCGTGGGGGCAGATGCATGCAGCCAGGCCTTGCCAACCCACTCAGCTGCAGTGAGGGGGATGCTTTCCTTGGGGCAAAGTCAATAACTCCCCTTAAATGAGATTCTAGCCTGTTGGACTGCAGAAAACCCTTCCAAACCCTTCCAAACCCAGATGCCAGGCTGGATGCTGCAGTCTGCTACTAGACAGGTTGAAGGCAAGCGAGCAAGAGAGCAGCCCAAACAACCTGGGAGCTTTAGCACTCTGGTTCTTCCATGAATCAGGCCCCCAGGGCCTTATACAATATCCCGTGACTCTTTCCAAAGGTTCACCCCACCCCTACCTGGTTTCTCTCTGTTTATGACAGGAGAAGGCAGCAGCTGAGAGGAGGAAGATTGTGTCTAAATTTGAACAATTGCACCAGTTCCTGGTGGAACAAGAACAGCTCCTGCTGGCCCAGCTGGGAGAGCTGGAGAGGACAATTGGGAAGAATCGAGAAGAAACTGTCACCAAACTCTCTGAGGAGATTGCCCGTCTCAACAGCCTGATCAGAGAGATGGAGGCAAAGTGCCAGCAGGCAGCCAGTGACTCCCTGCAAGTGAGACATTATACCCCTTGGATCCCTGTGCAGTGAAGAAAAAGCTCTGAATCATGGGCCTGGGTGGAGGAACCACTAGACCGGGGCTTGTAAAGAGGGTACACTTATCTAGGTATTTGCAAGTGGTAGTCAAAATCTAAGGGGAGTGTGTCAAAATTATCTTGGTCTCCAGGGTGTAGCAAGTAGTACTGAGCGCTCTTTTCCCTTTTTTCTTTCTCCACCTCCCAGGACATCAGAAGCACGCCGAGCAGGTATGCAGTTCATTCTTACTCCCCATATTGGGAAGAGGCCTGGACATAGTGTGACAGCCAGATCTCCCCAGGGCACTGCAGCACAGCACACGGGGCAGCTTCATTATTAGGATAGTGATCTTTGATGAAGTTCCTATCCTAAGGTTGTTCCTTTTTAATACAAACCCTGGGTAATGATACCACATTTACTTGAATCTAAGACAACTTCAAATTTAAGATGCCCTTCCAATAATTAGATTCTATACATGAAAAATATACAAGTTTTGTTATACTTTTCTATGCGTAGAATCCAGTCATGGGAGGGTTGCCTTAAATTTGTCCATCCCACTACTATACTGGGGAAAGAAACAGCAAGAATCTGGGCCTTTGTCCCCTTGGCGCTGCAGCATCATTTCAGCCAAGAGAGCAGAGCCAGCTCACTGTGGAATCTCAGCTACTTTCTGATCCCAAGGAATGTCATGGATAGTTTGGAAATAAAGACCGTAAGTTGGCTCAAGTGGAAGGGGATGGCACTGCTACTGTCTGTGCTACAAGTGCCCTGGGCCAAGATACATGGTGGGAGTCATCCTCCAGGTCCCTCCACAGCAGTGTCACTGCCATGTAGCTGAGTTACTAGAGGGAACAGAATAATCCAGAATTGTGTTTTTTTTTCCCCAGGTACAAGAAAGGACCTTTTCACCGAGCAGGGGCAGTTACCCCCAAGCTGGAAACAAGACTCAGCAAGTTGTCTGAACAACATTTAACTCTGCAGGAGACTCTGAGGAAGTCTCAAGGTACCAAAAGGGATCTTGGGGTGGGGAATTGACAGGGTTTAGGCCCTACTACCTGGAGGAGGCTTGAACCTCTCTCTATCCTCCTACCATACTCCTCTAGTGGGTGCAACACAAGTCATATATTATTCAGGCCCCTCTTTGGCACTCCCTTTGAAGTTGCCCTCCTGGGCAGCCATGAGCAGGAGCAGTGTGCAGCTTGGGGCTCAGTAAGGTGGTTGCTGGCCAGGAAGCAAAGAGCCCTGCATTTTAGCCTAGACCCTTGTTCCAAGGTGGGCAGAAGCTTCTCTTTTGTGCTGCTATAGTAGGATGATACCTGAGAGTCACCATGATGCCCCCTAGTGGCTGCCTTGATCCCACCAGGCTTCTGCTCCAGCCTCTCAGGGTCTCATCCCGCTTCCTCTCCTGCCATGCCTTGGTGTTAAAACATGAGGGAAGGGTGCCCTCAGGCTGGTGAGCCAAGGGTGTTTTTTCTCTTTCTGTATGGGGTCCTTCTCTTGGGCCCTACTTGACCCATCTCACTTTTGGGTTCTGACTCTCCCCCTTTGGCCCACAGTCTCTTGGCCTTGGGGCTTCGGACTCTGCTGGCCTCAAATTGCCATAAGAACTACATTTGTGTTCTCCTTCCATCCCCACAGCCATACCCATGCCTCAGAAGTTATTCTGGCCATAGTTTAGTTATCTGCTAGAGGCCTCAGCCTCTGCCACACTTGGTCCTCTGGTATAAACTAGAACAAAAAAAATACAAGCAGCTGCCTTGCTACCTCCCCACTCTCTGGCTCTCATTCCTGGGAGTACCTGGCATGCCAGTAGCTCTCACTCATCACCAGCCTGGGCTGGCAGGAGCTCCTCTTTCTTCTAAGTTCAGGGCTTCACTGCTGATCTGCTCCCTTTCCAGTCAGGTGCTCCCCTGACTGGCTGCAGGTGTACCCTTTCAGTCTTCAGGGTGGCTTATGCTATTCCTCTGGCTACTTTAGCAGTGCCCTCACTGCCTAACTGGGGCACCACCCTATCCTTCTATTACTAGGCAGCTAGCCCTGCAATAGGCTATGGGCCTTGGCTGCATATTCTTCTGCACCTAACTCAAAATTCACTATCTTACCCCCAGTTGGGGACATCTCTGCTGCGGCTTCTCCATGCAAGTAACAGGAGCCCGTGACTCCCTGTTACAGCTGTCCTCTGCTCTTTTTTACCAATGATGATATTAGCAACTCAGCTTTAAAAGGAGCATTAGAGAAAGGTCTAGCTAGTGGCTGACCTGTGGTGTGGGGGTTAAAGTGCTATGTTAGGTGCTCAGCGATACCCATGTTCCACCCCTGGTTCTAGTGGGAGACCTGAAAACTAGGGCTCTGCGCAATTTCACCGGGTGTCTCTTTCAAAGCTGTTTTGGCACATTTTGAGCTTGAAACAGTGAAATCAAAATGAAACAAAAGGCTTCAAAAGGAAACGAAGACACTCAAAATGTTTCGAAGCTGGGCTTACTTGGCTTCAGTGTCAGTCCCAGGCGGCAGCGGCAGTGTCCTCTCATCCGGCATGCAGCTCTGGGGGCCTGCACCCCTAGGAGGGCTGTGGGGCTGTGCGGGACTCCTCCTGGGGGTGTGGGCCCCGGGATCTGCATGCTGGATGAGAGAAGGCTGCCACTGTCACCTGGGGCCAGCAGCAGCAGCAATCTTCCCTGTCACTGGGTGCAGGCTGTGGCCAGCACCAGTCCCAGGTAGCAGCGGCAGCCTCCTCTCATCTGGCGCACAGATCCGGGGGCCCGCACCCCTGGGAGGAGTCTGGCACAGCCCCTCAGCCCTCCTGGGGCTGCGAGTCCTCGGATCTGCGCACCAGATTAGAGGAGGCTGCCACTGCCAGCAAGTGTCAGGAATTGTGTTTTGAACAGTTTGAGGTGCAGTTTTCCAGAAATCTCTGCACCATCCCCCTGAAACTTGGCAGGCTTCATGCCCTCAGAAGGGGCTACCATCCCTGCATTTTTCATCCAAATCAGGCAAGAAATGACAAAGTTTTAGGCATTTTCATGATTACCTGTTATAGCCTGTGGGCGAAATGTCAAAACAGCGAAACAGTTTTGATGAAACGAAATGGGACAGTGCTTCAAAACGAAACAAAATGAAACACTGTCCCTTGGAAACAGTGAAATGGATGTCAAAACAAAATGATGTTTTTTTGCACAGCCCTACTAAAAACCCAGAACCCAGCTTCCTAGGCCCTGAGCTAAGGGGTCAAAAGAGCAGTACGTGGTCTGTGTGTTCCTGAGGCTACGGCCAGCTGCCACAGATTTTGTCCAGCTTATTCTCAGACATGCAAACCTGCTCCATATTTGTAAGGGTTGCACGTATGAGCCATACCAATGCTGAACACGATCACTCCTTCCTTAGAGACATTTCCTCTTCCATTAGAGAGAAACTGAACATGGGGGACTGGTATAGCAAGTCCCAGGAACAAAGCATTTGGAATTGGCTCAGGGCTGGCAGGAAGCTGCTCCAGCACCTTCTGTGGATACAATAGCAGCAACTGCTTGAAGCTGGGTCAGAGCTGCCACGGACTCTTTGCTCAGTCGCAGGTGCTCAGGACAGAGGGCGGAGCTGGGCCAGGAGATGTCATTACACAGCCAGCACTACATTTCAACTCTGTGACACTTTCTTTTGCAGGTAATCTGCCATTCAGCTTGGAGAAGGGCAGAGGGGACCATGAGGGATCCAGCACTTACAGCCGGGGTAAGTGCTGGAGTAGAATGTCCTTATATATACAGAAATTTCCCAAATGCTCCCCTCCCTTGAGAAAAGAAACACTCTCACAGCCCAGCACTGCCCCAGTGCCAGGCTGAGGAGCTGTGGATCCGTCTCTGCTCAGGGACCTGGGGCAGAGGCAGCTCCTGGGACCCATGATGGTCCCAACCAGAATGGGGCTGCTGGGAGGATGAGGAATGGCCCCCACCTGCCTCAGGGCTGAGCTCTGCCCTGACACTCTGATTCTCTCTCCCAGTTCAGGTGTCTCTGGATCCACACACGGCTCATCCCCGGGTCCTCCTCTCTAAAGATCGAAGAAGTGTCAGATGGGCAGTAAGACGGCAGCGTCTGCCTGACAATCCTGAGAGATTTGACTTGCAGTTCTGTGTGCTGGGCTGTGAAGAATTCACCTTGGGGAGACACTGCTGGGAGGTGGAGGTGGAGAAGGGAAGGTTCTGGGCCATTGGGGTCGCCAGAGAATCTGTGAGGAGGAAGGGAGAGATCAGACTTAACCCTGAGGAGGGGGTCTGGGCTGTGCAGCGATGGTTGGATCAGTTCCGGGCTCTCACTGCCCCTGGTCCCACCCCCCTGTCCCTGCACCAGGTGCCCAGCAGGGTGTGGGTGTGTCTGGACTGTGGAAAGGGGCAGGTATCATTTCTCAATGCCGATACCGAGGCCCCAATCTTCACCTTCCCACCAGCCTCATTTGCTGGGGACAGAATCCAGCCCTGGTTCTGGCTGTGGGAGGTGGGATCCCAGCTTAGACTGAGCCACAGAGATGGGAGGGGCAGAGACCTCCCGCTGATAATGGTAAATGATAAAACTCACATCTCCTGCTCTCAGTAACCCATGAGGAACTCACTCTGTGATTCTGGAAACTCCAACAGATTAAAGGATATGTTCTCACTGCTGCAGGTGTGTCTGAATCTGTCCATCTGGGTCCTCTATTGCTCTGGAGGACTCCAGTAGGGCTGGCAGTGCAGTTTGCCCCTTGGGAGTCCCCCAATTTTGGAGAAGCCCTCCACTCCCTGAGTACAGAGCATCCCATCGTGAGGGCTCCCTGCAAAGTGTCCATTGGCAACCTTTAGCATGGGAGGCCCTGCTGGGAGCTGATGTCTATGTGAGACAGTTTGGGGTTGCAGGCTCTGTTGTGCCACAGACTTACTCTGGGGAGCTGCTGGGCTGCTTTGAGTTTGGGTTGGTTTTAGTGGGCAGCTGAGGTCATGGGTTGGTTTTAGTGGGCATGGGTTGGGGATTTCCACGGAAGTGCAGCTGGCTGTTTCCCTTCATGCTGCAGGAGATGTTTTATTTAATGTGTATGTAACCCGGGTATGCCCAAGGGTGTGCCCTATTCTCAATTGAATGGGATGGGTAGGCTTGAGGGGGTGCTGTGACAGGGATGCCAGAATTTCAAGCAGATCCCTCTTTCCTCTATAGAGTTAGCCCAAGCCCAAAGTTCTTTACTATATACAATTTATTAAGTTATAATATACATAAACATAAAACTAGATATCATATACATATATTTACACAGTGAACACTAACCAATAACCAAGGTCAAACACTAAATAACACTATTTACAATATCACAATACAACATTTCAATTACAAAATATAAGGCATAAACATGAACAATGTTAATAACATCTGTTCCTTAATATAGTCCCTGACCCATGGCAAGAGATAGTTGTCCTTCCAATGGGGTCCCTTGATGGGGGTGTCCAGGAAGCACCAGGGGCCCCTCTCCTTAGGGCGTTGACTAGGCAGGGGGCTACTCACCCAGCCCCTTCTCTGGGTTTGCCCACCCCAAACGTTTTTCCCCTGTGGGACCCAAGGGCCCAATGACTCACGCTTCCTCTGGTGGTGGTGGTCAGGGTGCAGCTCTATGGGGTCTCCTCTGCTGGAGCACCTCTCCAGGCCTTTCCCGCACCACTGAGCTCCTCTCCGCCCTGTGCCCTGCTCTGGGCATGGAGGGCTCAGCTCCTCTCAGCTGCTGCACCACTGTTGCTGCCTCCTGGGTGCTGGGCCTGGGCCTCACACTGCAGCACTATTTTTCCATGCCCTGGCTTTGGCACCAAGGGCACTTTTAGCACAGGCTGGGCCCTTCAGGCTCCGGTCGACCGTCCTCACTCTGGGGGACTAACCCAAGCAGCTTCCACTGATCCCTTGCTCCCAAGGCTCGGGCTTATGCACTGCCCTGCACACCATGGGACCTGGCCACTTGCTGGGAGATGGGGCCTGAGCTGCCTCACTGCAGCCCCAAGGCCTTTGGCCTGTGTGCTGCCCCACGCACTGTGTGGCCCGCTGGCCCTGCCAGGGTTGCAGATTCGAGCTGGTGCTTGCGGCTTCCAAAGCCTGGGCACCGTGCACTGTAATGGGCTTGAGCAATCTCACACCGCAACCAGGGCCAGGTCTCTGTGCACCATCCCTGCGTGCTGTCAACAGCCCTAGTGGTCTCACACTGCTCCCAAGGCTGCTTCTCCAGTGGCAGCTTCAGGAACCTTGGGCCTATTGCCCACTGGGGGAGAGCTCCCCAGCTTTTATTGGACTCACTTTTCTTGAGTCCCTCGCAGCATCTTCCCCTTGTGTTGGGCACGCAGCTCCTTTTATATGCTCCAGGGCTCCGCCCCTAAAGTCTTCCAGACCTGGCAGTTTACAATCAGGTCCAGGGGAGCTCTTCTCCCCCACCCCAGGAAAGGAACATGACTTTATTTCTCTTGCTGCCTCCTGATTGGTGAATGGGCTCCACCAATCAAAACAGCAGGATCTCAAGCCTGAGACTCAACCCAAGCCCTGAAAGGTGAGTCTGCTACACTACCAAGACTACAGAGATTTTCTTGCAACTGAAAATGTATGATCTAGACACACAGTGCATACCAGGGAATCTACTTATTGTAGTTACATTGTTCAGAGCATATGACACAACAGTAAATGGACAGAATTTCAGACTCAGACATGGTTCATGTTAATGTAATTAGAAGAGTGATTCCTGTCACAGACAAAATGTGGGCGCTAATCACAGAAGCTACTGCTCAGGACACCATATTGGAAAAAATGATAACAGCTATTTGTGCTTGTTGGCCTGGAAAACATACATTTAGCCCCTACTCCTAGTTCAAGGAAGAGCTGTCAATATGGGAATGACATTTTGTTCAAGAGCTCATGACTTGTTTTTCCAGCAGTGCTAAAGGAGACATGTTAAACAGAATACATGATGGGCATCTAGGCATTGAAAAATGCAAAAGGCGAGCAAGGGGAGCAAGTTGGGTGAGCTATACTGGCCCAGCATAAATAATGACATAGAAGATGTTGTAATAGCTTGTACAACATGTCTGAAGTACAGATCAGCGCAAAGAAAAGAGCCCATGACAATCATGGAGGAGCCTGCAGCTCCATGGTATCAAGTGGGCATTGATTTATGCATGCATGTCATAACTCACATAAAATCGATTTTTGCTAGACACAGGATTCCACAAATTGTGAGAACAGACAAAGGACCTCAGTTCAACTGTCTTGAGTTTAAAGAGTTTGCAAACAAACATAGAATCCATCACAACACTTCAAGTCCTAAGTACCCATAATCCAATGGTCCGGTGGAAAATGGAGTAATGAAAAAAGCTACAGACTCACACATTAATATTTACCTGTCACTCTTACATTACAGGGCAAGACCCATGAAACATAGGTTGTCCCCAGCAGAAATGCTGTTTAACAGAAGACTCAAAACCAAGCTGCCAAATCTTGTGGATAAAGCAGCAGAGGAAGCCACAGCCACAGCCACTACCATGTAGGCTGAGGGACAACTAGACAACTGGAGGAAGAGATGCCAAGTAGGGCTGTGCTAAATATTGCCACCAATTTTGTTTCAACCTGTTTCGAGGTCAAAACAGCAAAACTGAAATGAAACAGATATGATCGAAACAGCCTTGAAACAAAATGAGGCAAGTCAAAGCGTTCCGCCATTTTGACGCCGTTTTGACGTTTCGCCCATAGGCTATAATGGGGAAGGTTGAAACAGCCTATAACTTTGTCATTTCTGTCTAGATTAAGATAAAGCTTACAGAAATTATATCCCCTTCTGAGGGCATAACGTGTACCAAGTTTCAAGAAGATAGATGCAGGGGGTTCAGAGAAACTGCGCTCCAAAGTCTTGATTGCCAAACTTGTGCCATGTGTATGTGTTAAGCCACAGCAGGGTCAAAACTGCAGGGATGATAGCCCCTGCTGAGGCCACAAAGCCTGCTAAGTTTCAAGGAGATAGGTGCAGGGGGTTTGGGGGAAACGGCACCTCAAGCTGCTGACAAGCAAAACTCGTGACATGGGTGACACTGTGTGTGTTAAGGCACAGCAGGGGGAAAGCTGGGGGGCTGCTACCCCCTGCTGCAGCCACAAAGCCTGCCAGGTTTCAAGGAGATAGGTGCAGGGGGTTTGGGGGAAACGGCACCTCAAGCTGCTGACAAGCAAAACTCGTGACATGGGTGACACTGTGTGTGTTAAGGCACAGCAGGGGGAAAGCTGGGGGGCTGCTACCCCCTGCTGCAGCCACAAAGCCTGCCAGGTTTCAAGGAGATAGGTGCAGGGGGTTTGGGGGAAACGGCACCTCAAGCTGCTGACAAGCAAAACTCGTGACATGGGTGACACTGTGTGTGTTAAGGCACAGCAGGGGGAAAGCTGGGGGGCTGCTACCCCCTGCTGCAGCCACAAAGCCTGCCAGCAGTCAAGGAGATCGGTGCAGGGGGGTTGTCGATGTGGCAGATTGTCCCCTCGGCCCCACTCAGGATGGAGTCTCCCATGACGAACACTTTGCGTTCTGTCTTAGGGAGAGCGGGGGCGGTAGCTACAGTAGAGCCTGTGTTGCCTGCAGGGACTGGCAGCTTAGCAGGCTCTGCTGGGGCTGCAAGAGTTTCAAACCTGTTGCAGAGCTCCAGCGGGGCAGCAACCTTGGTACGGCGGGCCTTAGGACCCTTGACCATCTTGGTCCAACCTCTTGACTGGACAAAAGGGGAGGTCCCCGAGTCCCCACAGACCCTGAGGGGACCCTCGGGTTGTGGTGCATACCCACCCGCAGCATGCCACTGGTAGGCCGGCTACGGCTGGGAATGCCAGGCAGGGCCTTGGGCCCTCCCGCTCGCCCTCCTGTGCAAACTCTGTGTTAACTCATGCGCCAGGCAGAAAAGCATGCCTGTTTGCGCAGCCTGTTCATGTGGCTCCGGTCGCATGGCTCCCTGGGGAGCTGGGCCAAGCAGGGGCCGGGGTGGGGTGCAGTGAGACCCTCCTGGGCCCTGGCTTAGCCGCCTCCCTGCGGCTAGGCTGGAGCTCGTCCCTCCCACTAGGGGCCTCCTTACCTCTGGCTGCTGCTGGGGGTCGGTGGGATGCTCCTCAGCAGTTGGGGGTCGCTAGGGGGCTTCAGGGTATGGGGGCACAACGGGCTTTCACCCGCGCGTCTTGCGCCACTCCTGGAGCCTAACCAAGATGATGATCTTCATCACTCTTCAAAAGATAAGAGTCTGTTCTCTTACAGGTTGGCTGATCTCCTACACAGGGCTTTTAAGCTACGATTGTCAGGGGATGGGGATGCAAAAGACAGAGAGAACCTAGGATCAACAAACCACAAGCCATGTGCTGGAACAGTACATGGAAGTGCTAAGGGGCCCGATAAGCATCAGGACAGGGGGGTACCAAGGGCACCTGTCAGGGGCTAAAGTATCTATACCAATGCTATAAGCATGGGGAACAAGCAGGAGGTACTTACACTCCTCCTTGCAAACAAAGACTTTGACCTGGTTGGATTAACTGAAACCTGGTGGGATCCTACCCATGATTAGGCAGTAGGCATTGAGGGCTATAGACTTTACAGACATGATAGAACACCACAGCCATTCACCTTACAGATGTTTTCCACTGCTGGACAGGCACGAAGGGACCTGCAGTGTCAATGAGAATGAAAACACTGTGGGAACCTGGTTGGTGGGAAGGCAATAGAAGTCAGGCAGACACCATCCTGGCAGCGCCCAGCTGGTAGCACGCACAAAATATTTTATGACCCCAGCACAGCTCTATCATCAGGTAACACATGATACTTACTAGTGGAGCTCTGTTCTGCAACAGACTGTGTGGCCTTTAAGGGAAAGATGGAGCTTTCCCACAAGGTGGAGCTAAGTCAGCCCTTTTTTAAAGAGCATGGATGCCTGTACACGTGACACCATTAACATGTACACATGATGAAAATGTCACTTTGTGTGGCTTAATGTTGTTACAGTGTATACTTGCAAGACATTTGAGGGTATTAAATGACTTTACATTGTTGCAAGATAAACTACATCTGGATGTAGTTTAGTTTGTAACGCTGCAAATTGCAAGGATGCAACTGACAGCTTGCCCCCAAGCCACAAGCAGGCTCTTGCTCCAACAAAAATAAAAAATGATCGGGCCTCTCGCTGTAACATGATGGAAAAACAGAAACAGTTTAATTCTCAGGGTTTTATTCTATACCCACTGTTTCAATTTAGGGGGCATAGAATAAAACTTTGGGGATTTAACCCCCGTCACATGTACAAGCACCCCATGAGCTGAGGCAATTGTAACCCGGGTACACCCAAGGATGTGCCCTATTCTCAATCAGATGGGATGGGTAGGTAGGAGGGGGTGCTGTGGGAGGGATGCCGGAATTTCAGGCGGATCCCTCTTTCCTCTATAGAGTGAGCCCAGGCCCAAAGTTCTTAACTTATATACAATTTACTGAGTTATCAGCATTTATATATAAAACTCTTTAAGGTAGATACAATTACAGGTATAGATACACATATGCATATAAAAGTCTGTTAGCAAGAGGAAGTCTGCCTTAGGGAAGGCATTTGGGTAAGTACCTGTGCCTCAGACCCAGAAGAGGAGTGGATCCCAGGAGAGTCAATCCAGCAAGTTTATACCACAAGTGGGCTAGCTAATAAAGACATCCTTACAGAACCCATTATACAGAATTAATACACCCAACTATTTATAACACCAACAGTAACAATAGATACCAAATAGGAAACATAACTATACCAGATATTAGACACACCCTATCTGGGTTCCAACCACTTGGTCTCTCAAATGGGAGAGAGTCTTCTCCCCCGAGGCCGCCTGGATGTTCCACAGAACCCTCCCCAGTGGATATTTGGGGTCTCCTCCTCTCTGACTCTGGAGAGCAGAGGGTGTGTGGGGCCTTCCCCCTGCCCACTCCTCCCAGGGTCCCTTTCCCAGGGGTGCCTTTTCTGCAGGACCTGGGTTCCCAGTAACTCACGGTCCTTCCTCTGGGGGCTGTCAGTCTGGCCTCTGGGTCCCCACACTGTCTCAGGCCTCCTGGACCCATCGGCCTCGAGTTGAGGGTCCTTCTCTCTGGGCTCTGTGCCCCACATTGGGCACCCAGGGAGCTCTTATGGGAGCCAAGCCCTCACTGGCCCCAGTTCCTCAGCCTCACACTGGGGGTCTTTCCCTTTTCCTGGGCACTGGGGGTCTTTTAGTTTAATGCTGAGCCACACTGTGGAGATCCAGTTACCCAGCCTAGAGCCAGGGCTAACTTGAGCAGTCTCGAGCTGCTCCCAGGGCTGACTCTTTGTGCGCTGACCTGTGCATCATGTGGTACCCGAGCAGCCTTAAGCCAGGGCCGGCTGTCCATGTGCCAATCCACGTACTACCTCACCTAGCCGCTTGCTCGGTTCACAGGCTCAAGTCGCTTTGAGCGCCTCCCAGAGCCTGAGCACTGTGTGCCAATCCGAACCTCATCGAGGGTCAGGCAGGGTCCCGATGATGGTCTTCTCCAGAGCTCCTCTCTCCTCGCCGTCCCTCGCTGCGTCTGCCCAGCATGCGGAGCACGCTGGGCTTTTATTTACACCAGAGGCCCCGCCCCTGAAGTCTGCTGGACCTGCAAAGTGCAGGCTTCAATCAGGTCTAGGGGCTCCTTGCTCCCTGCCCCGCTATCTGAGCAGGGGCGGGGCAAGCCCCTCCCAGCTGTTACCTGATTGGTAGAAATGTTCCACAAACCTGAAGTGTCCTTCTCCGAGCCGGGCTTGCCTGGCAGAAGCAGCGAGCCCGCCACAATGAAGGAGAAAAAAAACAATATTGTCTATAAGGGTTAAAATAATAGTGTCTCTGCCTGTGTCAGGCAGCAACATCTCAAAATAGAGCAACAAGAATGGGTCAAGCAGGCATGAGCCCAAGGGGGTATGCTCACCCCCTGGAGGCCATTTTGGGGGAACCTGTGGAGGTTTCCCTCACTTGCTGAAGTACCCCCTGAATTGGTGGGTGGGAGACTGATACACTTGTGTGAGAGTCCTTGCATGTCTGAGAATTGGGAAACCCCTATGGGGGTTCCCCTGCTTGCAAATGCCCGCTCCAAACTGGGGCAATGCAGCCTGCTAGGCCCCGCTGTGGAAATCCCCCACAGGGGGATTCTTGGGGCCTGCCTCTGCAAGCATGCCTGGGGAAGGCCCTGCAGGGGACTTCCTGGGGCAGGCAGTAAGCAAGCAGACCTCCTTCCCTATAAAGCCTCACAGACTGTGACTGCTTTTAGCTGGGGCAATGTTTTTGGGCACTTGTAGCATGCCTAGGGGTAGGGACATCTGCTTGCAAATCCTGTCTCCATAAACATGTTTATGGCACCCCAGGCAGATGTCTGTTTGCTCCCTAAGAGAAAACTGCCCAGGGACCGCTGCTAGGACAACAGACAAGAATCCTTTCCAGGAAGGGAAACGCCCAACCGCTGCTTTAGGCTGAGCGCTTTCCTGAGCTCAGAAAAGTGAAACAACCTGTCTCACTCCCTTCTCAGAGCCATGGCTGCTGAGAGCCCTCTCGAAAGTCTCCAGGATGAAGCCACCTGCTCCGTCTGCCTGGAGTTCTTCAAGGATCTGCAGATGCTTATGGACTGTGGGCACAATGTCTGCGGAGCCTGCATCACCCAGTGCTGGGAAGGGCTGGTGACAGATGTCTGCTGCCCTCAGTGCAGACAGAGCTTTCCTCAAAGGAACCTGAGCCTAAAAAGGCAGCTGGAGAATGGTGTAGAAATAGCCAAGCATGCACCTGAGGGCACCGAGGAGCAAACAGGGTCTGGGGAGCCCCAGGAGGCTCTAAAACGGCTGTGCACAGAGGATGGAAGCCCCATCTGTTTGGTGTGTGATGGATCCCCAGCACACCCAGCTCCACCCATAGTTCCCATAGAGGAGGCTGCGCAGGAGTACAAGGTAGGGAACCACAGTCCATCTAATGCACTAGTAGAGTAAGTAAATCCAGTGATTCATAATAGACATTTCATTATTACAATTACAACTCATACAATTTTTTTAAAATCTGCAACCAAAATGGTAGAAAACAGTTTATTCATTTGAGTCTGACTGACAGTTGCAGATCATAAAACGGTTAGAAACCTGGGAAGTCACAGATGAGAAAAATAGTTCTGAACCTGCTAAAGTTAGAAACAGTTACATACAGCGCTGGAAAGAGAAAGGGATTGGGCACTTTCAGCAGACTCAATTCTAAAACCTGAAAATCACAAACAGGTGGCCAGTCTGACAAGACAAAGATTTTACTGAAGTTAGAGACTAAGTCCTGAAAGAGCAGGGGTTTTCCAGCACCTACAGAGAATCAGGAAAAAAGAGACTCATACAAAAGGAGGGCTGGAAAGGATCTCAAGAGGTCATCTCTAGTCCAGCCCCCTTCTCAAGGCAGATACAAATCATCCCATGCAAGCACTTGTTTAACTTGTCCCTAAAACCCCACAAGCAACTCTGTCACAATGACGTGGGACATAGCCCAAGGACACCCTGAACCCCCCTTACCTGCTGCAGATAAAGCAGGAGGACAAGGGCAGATTTCTGTGCTCAAACTGGAGCTTAAAGTGAGAGGACTGCAGTGTGAAGGTAAATAGTCCCTTTTACTGCCCAACTGATATTATGAGGCTACTTTAATTGTAATATTGAAAGCCAATCTCCTAATTTTATCCAGCTGTGGTCAAACTAGTTGTAAGCATTTCTCACTTCTGTCTTACTGGATAAATGCTACCTCTCATCTTTATCCTAGTCCTACTGTTCATTTTGTCTATGAAGTTTCCTCGCCTCTTATCACTTCCTTTGCCCGTGTGCTTGACGTCAGCTAACTAGCTTGGCCTCACTTATCCTCATCTACTCCTATGCAACATTACAGAGTTTACTAAAGTCTACAGAGGCAGAGGAAGAGGGGGGCATGGAGATGGGAGCTTTTAAAGTAGCTATAGAAGCTGATTTTTTTCTAAAATCAATCTCCACTGAGACATAAAGGAATCACTGGAAGAACTCAAGTCATTAAATGATGAATGAAGTTTAAATCACAAGAGCAGCAAGACTAGCCATTGAGCATGGGAGTTAGAAACACAGCCTCTGAATTAGAACTTTCTAGACCTTAAATGCTGGAGACAGCAAATGACAGAGGAAGGGTGGAAAAAACCTGGTCATAACCAGTTTGGTCTCCCTTTCAGCATCCAGTGTGACACAGGAGACCGGGCAAGATGAACCTACGGTCTGGCCTAGTAAATGGCATTTTTTTGTTCTTATGTATGAACAGATCAAAGCAATTGCCAGTGTCCTGAAACTAACTCCTGAACTCCAGCACTTGATTGCACATCCTAATGCCATGGACCTACTTGGGTCTCCAAGGAAATCTAGTCTTGGCATTTAGGTAGACTAAAAAAATTCCCACACTTCCACCCCCCAAGTTGAAACCACAAAAATCATCTCAGGTGCCTGCCTACTCTGACTTCTCTGGTAAAATAGCCCAAATCATTTCTGTTTCTTCAGCAAAATCTTCAGGCCTGTTTGAAGACTCTGAGGGAAGAGCGAGACAAGTTGCTGCAAGTGAAATTGAGCGGAGAGGGGAGAACCCAGGAATATCTGGTAGGTGCCCATTGCCTTCAGCCTGGAGAGGGGACCTGGGGGAGTGTGTTCGCAGGTACATTCCCCTGGGGGTCTTTGTTTCTTTTTTACCCAGTGTGGGTTCCTGAGTCTGTGGGTGCACTCACACTCATTTGGTTGTTTTACAGAAACAGGCACGAGTTGAGAGGCAGAAGATTGTGTTTGAATTTCAGCAACTACGCCAATTCCTAGAGGAACAAGAGTGCCTCCTGCTGGCCCAGCTGGGAATGTTGGAGAAGGACATGGAAAAGGTGCAGGGAGAAAAGGTCACCAAAATCTCTGAAGAGATTTCCTGCCTCAGTGAGCTGATCATTGAAGTGGAAGGAAAGTGCCAGCAGTCATCAAGTGACCTCCTGCAGGTGAGCCTGTAGTGGAGACACCTCAGGGCCCTGCACAGTGTGACCCAGCATGTGCATGAATAGTTATTAACCTCTGAATTATGGACACAGAGATCTTAGACAGCTCAGCCAGGCCCTGACCCTGCAGCCTGAACAGTGCTGCTTTATGGGTCTAATTGTAAAATGCTTCCCCTGTGTTCCCCAGTGTGTGGCATGCATGACTCACTTTGTCTCTCTCTCTCTCTCTCTCTCTTTCTCTCTCCTTTCCCCTTTCCCTTCTAGGAGATCAGAAACACCCTGAGCAGGTACGTGGCTGCACTTCACTCCGCTGCACATTGCCTGGTGCTGGGGTTGGGGGGGGGGAGGGAGAAGGGGCAAGAAGACCATATTAAGCTGATATTTCCCTAGGACTCAGCAGCACAACTGATGGGGCAGGTCACATTCTGGGCACAAATCTCCCTAGTTAACTTAACCTTGAGGTTTCTCTCCTTTATCTAGAACTTAGGAGATATCTGGCTTCTTAGATAGGTTACTGTGAACCTGAAGTAACTTGCAAGGATGTCACCTCCTTGAGGGGCCTGGCTGCTTCACATAGCTGAGAGCAGCGGCAGACAATATACTCCATTCATTGGTTACACCTGCTCAAGCCAACAGTAACCAAGAGTCTTGCCTCCCTTCCCCTCTCCTTCCAAGAGTTGTTAAAGATGCTGTAACAGGGAACCCTAGCCCTGTTACTAGGAGGCAGGGCTGCCCCTTTAAGACCAGAGTCTATAGGAACATTAAGTAGCAGGAGGGTAGGGGTTAAAAGCCCAACCACCCAGGCTGGTCATCTGACAGGAAAAAGAGAGGGTTCTGGGCCCATATAAACCCCAGAGCGGAGACTGGCAGGAGGAGGTCTCTGGCAAGCTGCCAGGGGACAGAGCTCCTGCACAGCAGAAGTACCTGGGAATGCTGTGGCTGCTGGCCAGACTGTTGCTATGGGTAATGAGGCTCCAGGAGTCTACAAGGTGGCCAGTACTCAAGGAGCAGTTTGGGGGTTTTAAGGAGTCCGAGGGTGGCTTGTAGAACTTACATTATATTATAGTCCAGGGGTTCATATTTATGTTGTTGTTTTATCCAGTGGGCTGGCCTGAGGTTATTGGGGAGGCAGGGGCCTCATTGAGGCACACTACTGTCCACAGCCCCAGTGCCAGGGGGCACAGTGACAGGGGATACAGATAAACATCTATATACCATCTGCAAGGCATGGGCCACCATGTAGGGAAGGTTTGGAGTGGTGGATCATGACCCCTAGTGTCGGGGTAGTAAATGGGCAGCTTCCCACCTGAGTAACATCATAATCATTGTTCCATCAAGGTGTGGCAGGAAAGAAAGGTGGGTAGGTAGTCCAGAGACAAAGGGTCAGGCCTACTTCAGACAGGTCTGGGGTTGGACCCCTGTCACAGATGCCTATAGAGTAAGATGTGTTCTGGGGCTCTTGATTTCGTACTAAGATACCCAATACCCACAACAATAGGCTCACTGAGTAATCGGAGATACTCTCTTTCCAGGTGTGAGAAGGGGAAGTTCCAGCACCCAGGGGAGCTGTCTCCTGAGCTTGGAAGGAGACTCTGGGATTTCTCCCAGAAAACCCTCATCCTCCAGGAGATCCTGAGAAAGTTCAAAGGTGCCAAGATGGGATCTGGGAGGGGATGTGAGGACAAGACTCTACAGCTGTGGACAGAGATGGCTCTGACCAACTGACTGATAACTCGATTAGTCATAAAACAGGGAGTGTCAACAACTTGAGTAGATGTAGCAAGGCCTAGGCATCAGCACATCTCGCGTTCATTTACCCTGTGTGGCCATGTCCAGATGAGGGCAGCCATGCGGTATGTGGTGCCACAGACACATCTGCAGTGCCACACACTGCACATTCAGGAACTGCCTGCCTTGCTACCTTGCAGCATCGGGGGTGGGATGGAGGGGGCTCTCCCAGGGTAAAAAAACCCATGTGGAAAAAAATGGGGTGGCTCATGTGGCTCCGGTGTGTGTTGCCCAAAACCAGAGCCTGGCTTGCCGGAGCCCTGCTTCAGCTGCTGGCCAGACTCTAAGCTGCAGGAACACTGTGCCTTTAGTTTCCCCAGCCCCCAGGACCCCAAGTAAGGCTGCTGGGGCCAGCAACTGTGCTGGCCCCAGCCTCCCCGACCCCACCTGAGGTAACTTGCTGTGAGCCAGGGGGTGCATGACACAGGCCTTCCCAAGGGACAAGTAGCAGTGGCACAAGGTGTGCCACTGCTGTTGTCCCTGGGAAACCAAACATCCACGCTCATCTGGAAGCAGCCTGTGTGCACAAATTTATTAAGGCCCAAATTTAACCAGAAACCCCCAAAACACAACACAGTCGAGTGTGAGTTCCAGAGCTGTTTATCATTCAGAACTGCTGATGGGCAGAGTTGGTAGGAGCCTCTTTGCAAGGCAGGCCTGAGCATTGACCTCCAAGACAGAGATCCTAAATCAATCTGAATCCACATCTGAAATGTGGACCCAGGTGTCCAGACTGCAGGGGGCTGTAGGGAAGGTGTAAATGTTGTGCCATCTCCTGTGAAATGCCTTCAGCAGAGGGACCTCTTCTCCCAACTGTACAGCAGCTCCAGACACTGGGAGGGTTCCTGGGTGTCTCAAAAGTGTGGTGGAGGTCAGATCATGGATGGAGGCCATGTCCTGGCAGAGGCTGCACCTCTGATGTCCTGCCCCATTGTAAAGCACCAATGGGCACTGGAGCAGATCAGCAATGCTTTTCTGACCTCAGGATGTCCCCAGTCTGTGCCAAGGTCTGTGCCAGCCCTCACAGGCTCTGAATGGGGGAACTGCAAGTTACTGCCCTACTATTGCTTTACCAGTACAGAGTTGGAAGTGGCCCATGGAAGTGGCCTCCTTCACTTGGAGGCTGGAGATGGGATAAAGAAAGAGCTTTCCCTCGGGTTTAAAGGTACTATCTTCTCTTCTCTGTCTCTGACTTGCATCTGCATCTCCCTTCCTTCCTCTCTTGCAGGGGAAGCAGGGAGATGCAGAGGCAATGTCTGATGCCACAACAAGCAGCAGTTTTCAGTAGCTGGGGTGGGGATGCTACAGTATCTGTGCTCAGTCTCAGGTGCTTAAGAAAGAGAGGCATCACCTGGTTGGGGATATTCTCATCAACCAGACAGAAAGAAGTATAATGTCTTTTTACTGCAGACACTCTGATATCTGACCTGGAGAAGAAAAGGGGAGATATGCAGGAAACGTACACCAAGGGTAAGCTTGGGCAGAGACTGACATGAAAGTTGCAAGAAATTCCCAGAATCCTCCACAAGCCCAACATATTTTCTCTCCCACCAGCCCTCAAACCCCTGAGCTGGAGCCTGGGCACTTGGATGTGTAGCTGTTAGATTCAGAGGTGAGAGCTGGCAGGAGTTCTCATTTGGGACTGCCATGTCTCCCTCCTTTCCCCTGGCAGAAGTGCACCCCTGCTTCTTCTGCAGCCCCCACCCCTCCCTCTGTCCAAGCAGCTGCTCACAGATCTAGCTGTCTCCTGCCACCAGCTAATCCCCTGTCACTGCTCAAGCAGCAGTCCTGCCATGCTGCCTTGTCATCTCCATTTCCCCACCTGGGAGTGGAGGAGACAGAACGGCTGCCTGCCTCCTCTGGCTGCCCTCACGCACAGTTTAGGGAATTTTCCTGCCTGTGTCCCTACTGCTGGAAATGGAGCAGCCCCTGCAGGGGAGCCAATGAGCAGGGGCAGGAGTGGCTGCAAGAGCCAGGCTAAAGGTCTTTTTTTTTTTTTTTTTAAGGAAAAATGTTTGTGTCCAAAGTCAAATCAACCAAATCAATTCAAAACCCCCTC